AGAAAAATATTTAAAAAATACGAAAACAACTGCAAAACGGCAAATTATCGGTAATTATGTTTGTAGTTTTTCAATATTTCCCTTTTAGCTAAAGTCTTGAAATTTCTACACCAAATAGAGGTTTTCAATAGCTTCAATTTGATATATAGCCCAACGTTCAGTGTTGAGTATTTCTGCTCATAACTCAGAAAAACTAAAATGCACTGGCTTCAATTTCCCCCCCTGAGTTAGCCTTCCAGTTTATTTATAGTTCAATGATTGTAGCTAAAGCGATCCGCGATCGCACCCCCCTGTATAGTATTTGCTCCGATATATCACGTGACAAAATAATCCACAATTTGTGGATTATTTCACCAGCCTTTACCAGGGCCTTTGCTGCCCTTCGCCTCCTTCCTGAAAAGGCCCTGGGGACGAGGTTGCGTCTAGACCATAGGTCTAGACAGTGAACTCTATATATATATATATCTGGAACGATAACATTCAGTCATTTGATTGCGAAAAAAATGAAGCCTCGATACCAGTCTTTCACGCGGATTGGACGTCAGTCTCAGTCCCTCAAACGTCAGGCTTACGCGGATTGGACGTCAGTTTCATTCCCCCTCTTGCAAACCGTTGCACGGCCAGTATAAATTTGAACGCAATCACGAAAAAAAATTTAAAAACATGGCCAACTCAATGCAATACATTTTAGGAGCAAACTGTTTTGCTCCTAAAATTTACTGCATTGAGTTCCCTGTCGGAAAAAAGTCGAGGAAAACTTCCCCGTGTGGAGAAAAGAATCACTTTTTCAAATATATTGTGTCGTACTGTCGTTCTGGATGCACAAGGAAAGAGATATTGTTGCGAGAAAATTTCATTTCACAGGTAGGTAAATTGACTTGCAACTGTGACTTTGCCGTTGCCATTTTTCGCGATTGTTTGAATTGTTTTTTAGTTTACCAGTTTTATAGTTTTTAGTCAATACACTGGTACGTTATTTTTTAAAGAATTTCTTGTGTGATCGGAATTTGCCTGCCAGCAAAATGTAAATGAATATGTACGTGTGTTTGAATATAAATTAGACCATATGGGCACATTATCTACTCTGTGATATGGGCTTAGTAAAAACTTATTTTAATAACTACGTTTCGGAGTATAACTCCATCTTCAGGTTAAAAGTGAATAAAGATATAAAAACTGTGATAAAAACTTTCAAAACAATTACAAATTTTATATGTAAGTGATTTTTAATACTGTAACACAGAGTAGAAAAGACATACAGAGACGTAACTGACCGTTGTAAACACACTGCGGAAGATTACGTTATCATGTACCCACTTTTTTTCAGGCGACCGGGCGAAAAATGATCAACTGCGCGTGCTCAGCAAGTTTAAAGTGAGTCGTCATCAGGTCGTCATCCAATCAGATGCATGCATCTAGTAACTTGCCGAGCATGCGCACAAAAAAAGTGGGTACACTAGTTACGTCTCTGTATGTCTCTACTCTGTGACTGTAAGAAAGTTCTTGAACAGTTGATGACGAAGACAATGACGAATACTTATGTCGTGATTTTTTTGTCGGCTTCACTTTTCGCTCGCTGTTATCATTCCAGATATATATATATATAGAGTTCACTGGGTCTAGACCACTGAGCTGTATAATAACTGGAGGACCTGCTCCTATACTTCGTTCAGTCAACAAAGTGTCCGCAAAAACATGGCGGATTTTGAGTGAAAATGACGCCATTTCCATGACAACACTTACTTTATTTTCATGGTAGGTACCACTGACCAGGCTCAATTCTGAGCCCACGGCCGTTTTCACCCCCCCCTGGTTTTTGCAAAAAAGTTTTGCAGATATTATAGTTCTCGTGGTTTTGAATCGGTTTTTAAAATTTTTTGATATAAATTTTCTACCTTTGATTATTTGGACAAAGATATGCAAGTCGTTCGTGTTATTCTCGCCCGTGAAAGACGACAGACAAATTTAAAATCTCAAGAAATGTGGGAAGACTTGAATATGGATTTTATACAAAGGTAAGAGACAAATTTGCATATTTCAATTTTTTAATATTTAGACTTTACCTTATTTGACATGAAAATGATAAGCATAACGATGAAACTGACACTCTATTTGTTAATAAAACAACTTCCTGTGTAATACACATGATAAAGTGTAAAATTTCCCACTATTTCACTAATTTTCGCAAGCTGTGATTCATAATAGCAAAATATTTGGTTACAAACTACGAAGCTTTGATCGATATTCAGTCACATATACGAGGATTACGACGGTCTTTGAAGTGCGAACTGTCTAGTGTATTAATGTTTAAAAGGTTGACTCCTGAGCTCTCGTTTTATAAACAGACATAAACCTCATTTCCAGGATGGCCTGTTTTCTTTCATGTTTTCTCAGTAAATATCACTCTGAATGAGCAATGTACCTTTATAAGTGCACTCATAGTTCTGATACCCCTTGTTTAAGTTGAGGAGTTTGGTCACATTCTTTTGTTTACCTTGATCATATGCTAATTTGTTACTGGAGGATTTTTGTACAACCTACATAATTAATCTACTCTTGTTTGTTGCAGATTTATTCCACAATGACACACTCCTTTCTGGGTGGCAACTGGCAAGTTACAGTACCAAGCCTGGCAAGCCACACATATCTTTGGAAACTGAACATACTGTATTTTAATACATGCTTCCAAAAATTATGTCACCTTGGCGAGTCTCATTTTCACGATTGAGACATTGGACTTTAACTCATGCCACATACATGAAAATGAGGCTCCTGTGACAAGGTGAAATACATTCCGGAAGCCGGAAGGGTGTATTTGACTTTTTTGAAAAATTATTGGCAGTAAAAAATTTAAAAAAACAAAAATGTATAATTTTAATTGCTATAAAACTTATTTACACTTCAATAAAGTTATCATAATCATATAATTATTTATGTTGTTATGCATGGTATTATAATTAACTAATTCATTTTGTTGTTCTGCATGTTTTTCTGCATGTTGATGCCTCAGTGCCATCTCTTGTGTATATTAAACATATAATTTCTGCAAAATAAAAGATGACATTATTATCATGATACATTATACATCTTTACATCACAAAAATATCATATACACATATGTTAACCCTTCACAAGTGGCAATGTGTCTTGATATGCCTTACTGTATTATTTTAATCTACCTAACACCAGACAATTTTACTAGTCAAGGGGAGAGTGCAATTACATGATCTGTTTTTACCAACGACCATTGATCTGAGCTTCAAAATTAAGTGTCATGTTTCAATATTCAGCAATGCAATTACATTCCTAACTGCTAAAATATGTCAAACTTAACTATTATGAGCAAATTTCATCATAATTTCTCACAGGCCGTGTCATGGCCAATTGGACATCACTACTCCCAATGTTAGAAATCATGGGCGGATTTACTTGGGGGGGGGGGGGTTAAACCCCTCTAATAAAGTGTTCAACTCCACCAAAAATTCTGCTTCAACCCTCCTATTTTGTGCGAAAGGCTTTAACCCAAACGCCTAACCCCTGCCAAAGCTCACTGAGTGGTGCCGCTTGCACCCCACCAGAAATTTTTCTACCCCTCCTTTTAAATAAATGAAAATCCGCCCTAATTGTTAGAAATGTTGTAGCATTCCAAATTTACCTCATGATTAGTGTATCAGTGACTCACTTAAATCCCGGCAGCTTGTGGGCAACATTTTTGTTCTTGCCATGTAACTATGACATCATACTGTGTAAAACTATATAGTTTTATATAGTTCTGAACAGACAATGGCAAAATGATATCTATTTTTAGTAAAATTATGAGTAAAACATCTGGATTTAATCTCACAGATTGAGGTAAAATAAGAGCCAGGGTTCATTGCAGCTTAATGGGCTGACTATATATCTCGGGCTGCTCATTTGCAGATAGCTGTAATTAACCCACTGCGTGGCAGCAGGGAGCAGTCTCAATCCTCTTAAAATCGTCTGTAGACAGACAGAGTAAAATAATACAGTCTTTAGGGCTCATCAATCAGCCGACAGGGCACATACATTGTCACATGTAGGTGGGCCTCCTCAATAACGGCTCAACTCTCTCTGGTCTTGTGCTTATCTATATATACTAATTCTGCACTGTGATGGGCAAGTATATAAATTTCACACCATTTTAATAATTAACGTTTTAAAATATACGAACATGTATTAAACAACCACAATTTTTAGTATAAATTAAAAACTGGCAGTCTGGCAATAAAACCACAAAGGCCAGTGCTGACACAAAACAACAATTTCATGTACACAATGTTTAATCGTTAACAATACTTTTATGTCCCCTATTGAAATATTCGCTGTATATATTAGGATGAGTTTTTGACATAATATGAAGGGTCTAGTGACTGTAGCCGTCTAGAAAGTTATAAAAAAGTTTCGTGAATCTTACATTCTTACCTGAAAGAATTAGTCTTTCTTTGTAGTCTTTATAGTGAAATGCTGCATCCACAAGCGAAGCAAACTCGCACCCTCGCTCCGCGTTGTAAAACAAGTAATGTTCGAGGGAAATTTTTTAGCTCAAAAACAACAGAAAACTCGAGAGAAAACTTTATGATATCTATATCGTAAATTCGTAATATTTGGCCCAAAAACCAGGGGGGTTAAGGACATCGTCGGAAGTTTAGGATCGCGGTTGGTCAGTGGCAGTTACCATGAAAATAAAGTAAGTGTTGTCATGGAAATGGCGTAATAGCCGCCATGTTTTCGGCTTCACTTGATGATGCCGAGCAGGTCCTCCAGTAATATAGTATAGCTCAGTGCATTGACGTAATCAAAAAGTGAAGCCAAAGATGGCGGATTTTGAAGCCATTCTTGCGCGTCATTCTCAGTCTTCTTACCCGCGCGGCCAAACAATTTTTGTATTTTCATGGCGGGAAGTGATGGGTCCGCGACTCTCGGGTTGTGTTTTTCTTCATTTTAGAAGAGCAAAAAAGGAAATAAACTTTATTTATTTCATGTAAACCTGATTTCCTTCATCTAATCGAAATGTCTACGGCATTTTCCCACTGTATGTGTGAGTAAATCTGTATTTTTCGTTGCGAATTCAACAACTAGTTTCAAACTTTTTTGTTTTTTTGATATAAAATCTGTATTTTTATAAATTGGGAATTTATTTTTGCTTTGGTTGTTTTTTTTTGTTTCTATGGTGCTTTTCAGTTTTCACACCATTATTTAGCTTATTTTAGTCCGTTTTCCTGACCTAAAACTGCTTTTTAACTGCAGTTTTCGAGGCAGTTTTTAGCCAATTTAATTCCATACATGTTAGAAAATTTTGTTTTTTTATTTTCTATTTAATACAATCACTTTGATGTTTGCCTTATAAACTTAAGCTGTTCATTTTAACGAGTTATTCATGTGTGTGAAACTCTTGTCGATAGGGGCAATGGAGATATTTTGAAAGATTGAGTGACTTTGTGTTTTGTTTTGTCACTCCTTGTCATTTTACAAAAACAGCAATCCCGCGCTATTTTGCTTTCTTTCCACTCAAATATCACATCTCCTAAATAAATAATAATTACAATTTATAACCGAACCCAAACAAAATACCAGAATTCAACTTTTCATTCAAATTTGTCTGTTTTTCACCTGATTTTTACTCGGAAAGTAAAGAAAAATATAAAAGTTTTGTTGACCGTGCACGTAAGGGGACTGAGAATGACGCGCAAGAATGCCTTCAAATTCCGCCATGTTGGCTTCACTTTTTGAGCTCGAGTCAGACTTCCATGTTATATAGTTCAGTGCGACAACCTCGTACCTAGGCTTTCTCTTCTACCTCGCTGAGAGAGGGTCTGGGTACGAGGTTGCTTGGGGGAATTAAATTAAGCGAAATTAAATTTCCCTGGCAGGTAAGTCTCTCCGTTTCACTCCGCTTTCGCTTAATATGTTATGTGACAAAATGCAAGAACGGACATTATTTATACTGGACAAGTTTATATTATTTAAAACTATCGCTAATTAAGACAAATCATCAGTGAGACAAATCACTATAAATTCCAGTTATTGCGAAATTTCATTAATCCATTATGTAATGCAAGTACGAGGTTATGTAATGATAAGTTACTAATAACGTTGAAAGACCGCACAGCTTGACAACCCTGAGGTTTGGGGGTAAAAACCAAGCTAAAATAGTCGTGTTCTGTGATTGGCTTCATAACACAATAGTGATCAGTGTTTAACCCATTATTTAGAACGATGATTTCTAGTATAGTCGATCATTGTCTTTTATTGTGTATGATCGGCCAATCACAAAGCCCGTTCACATACGCGGTATGGACGGTCAACCTTCCCACCCCACCCCTGTGAATCCATGCCTAGTAAAACTAGATGACATCCATTGGCTCGTTGCAATTTGGAAAAATTTGTTTGACAATTTCATCTCCCCATTGTAGCATATCTCTGTATATTGAAGTAAACTGGACACCGAACTCCATCAGCGAGTATTTTCTTAAATTTTGCTGATTGGAAATATTTTCTTCTACTCCGTACATACGGTATCCCTGTGTGTGCATTGCGACGATGTTTCCATTCATGTCAATAACAGGAGAACCACTTGAACCATGGAAAAGAGTTGTGTCGTATGATAGGCAATCTTCGACATTTGGTAATTGGCACTCAATCTCTTGCAGTAACTGTAGGTTGGTCATGTGTACTCCTGTGCACACTTCATGTCTTTTCCTCATTGTCTCGTGAATAGAGGAAACGCCGATAACAGTGCAGACTTCCTCCCGCATTTCCTTTGTTCCCGGATGACCAAGGATAACAACTAAACCATTTGGTAATTTCCAATTTCTGACCATCGGACCTAGTAGAACACGACCGTTAAGACTTTGCTTCAAAGGAAAGAGTTTGTAATCCAAGTATGGATTCTCAAGTGTGGTGTTCCGTTCTTCATCAACTTCTACACAAACAATATGTTCTGTTTGTTCAGGGTCCAGATAATCAAACTGAACGGTGATGGGCAAGTTGGGATTTCCAAGCTTAGTTCGTTCATCTTTAATCATCCTGTAAACATGATAGTTAGTTATCACCAGTGCATCCGCCACAAGAAAACATGTCCCACAAGGAACCCCGCCACATACAATTCGAGCAATGGATCTCATGTATAAAACTAAATTTTCATTTAGTTTTGCAGGCTTCTGAGTCGAAGCATTTTTAAATACTTTACTTTTTGCAAAGTTGAAAAGTTGTTGATCCCTATTGTCAAATTTTCCATCATTTCCTCGAGGTTTATCATCGTTTTTACCCAAAAAAGTTGTATAAGCTAGCGCTTTAACATTTTCCGTCATGATGTTGGAGACTTTCTTAGTGAAAGGTTCCTTAGGTAATATTTGGCGACTGTACACGTATGAAGGTGAAATTTTGACATATTTTTCCATAAGAACCAACTCTTCCAGAGAATATCCTTCTGTTCTGTTTGGGTTGCACGCTTCTTCTTCCACCAATTCTTCTGCCCGCTGACGACCGCCTGAAAAATTTCATCATCATAATATGTGATTAACACCTTGAACAATGGATAAAAGTGAAGGAATACTAATGGTACATGGACATCTTATAATCGGTGTTGTTCAAAAGATTCAAATCAGTTGCTGAAAAATTAGAAATTATTTTTTGTAAACCTGAATTTTAATTTAATTTATTAAGCTTGTACCTGTAATTTCTGGCTCTTTCTCTTCAAACATGACAACATTTTCTAACTCTTTGTCTTCGATTGCACCTAGGTATATTAATTTTAAAAATATTGATATTGGACCCCATTGACATACATTGACCGAGGTATAAGTGTACCATTGGTGACGATATGCCCCAGAATTTATGAACATCTTTATTTTGCAGACTGAAGAAAAAAGCACTCACTTTGTGAGAAAGTTTTGCTAAGCTATCTTTTCATTTAAATCACTCGGAGCTATTTGAAAAATCATTAAGCTGTTTGAAAAATCATTAAGCTATTTGAAAAATCATTAAGCTATTTGAAAAATCATAGTGTGTTCGGTTCTTTTGCTATATAGTTTTGCCTGTCGTGATAAATGTATATCGTTCTCATTATTTTGTTGAATGTTTTAAATTGTTGTGTTCTGTGGCAAGCGCCAATTAATAGTAATCTAGCTCTCTCCTCCGCAGAGGCTTTAATTGGCTGCGCTCCTTCGCCCAGCGGCTACGCTCGTGTTCCAAGATCCGCCATGTAAAGTGTAGTGAAATGTATTTCATCGTAATATTAAATCCTAAGAAAACTAAAGCCTCTGCGGAGGAGAGAGGTAATCTAGCATGTAATATAGCAATATGGATAGTAAAGTAATCTCGGATGCTAGTAATAATTTACCTCGTTCTTGCGACGACGATGCTTGTAGCTCTGGCGGACTTTCTTGAGCATGCGTACCGTGAACTTCTTTGGAATCTGAATATAGAGAAAGAATTGGAATATTTTAAAACTAACATTGCATTAAACGAAATTTGTGAATATTTGTTCAAGTAAGAATCCGTACAACTCATTGAAACCCCATAAACGTATTTTTCTGACTGTCACAGTTGTGCAATCATATTGTATATTTTGGAATTAAAATAGTGCAACAACACCAATACCAAGGTTATATTGAAATACAGCAGCAATCGATTTTACCTTGTACTGCTGACGAGGGCGATGCTTTCTGCTCTGTAGAATTTTTGTTCTCTTGCGGAGTTTCAATGTTTGAAGAATCTACATATGGAAGAAATGTTCCAAATTGATCTACAATCAAAATAAAGACAAAATAAAGCAATTTATAATAACTTTAGCCTACTTGTTCTGGTATCCTTAACAAACTTTTGAGCTTTTTGAATTGACTCCATCGCTTTTCCTGTATCTCCAAGCCGAAACCAGGTAGTTCCTAAACCAGTAAGAGCTTTCTCATGCAGGAGGCGATTGTCATTGATCTCTTTTCCAGAAATATTCAATGCATTTTCATACCATGTTATCGCCTTTTCGTAATCACCATCTTTACAACAAATTGATGCCAAAGTTAAATATAATGTTCCTAATCTCTGAATTGCGACGGCTTGCATTACTTTATCATCTAATTCTTCGTCTCCCAAACCAGTAAGTGCCTTCACATGCAGGAGGTGATCATTGGGCTGTGATCCAAGGATTTTTATACCTTTTTCATACCATTCTACTGCATTTTCGTAATCGCAATCTTTACAACAAACTAAATATAATGTTCCTAATCTCTGAATTGCGACAATTTGCATTTCTTTATCCTCCAATTCTTCACATATATTTAAAGTTTCTTGGTAAGATTCGATGGCTTCCTCGTGTTGCTTCAATTCTTGAAAGGTGTCGCCAAGCATGAGACATGCGTTGGCTTCTTCTTCTATTTCACCAAGATCATGAGAAATTTCTTTAACTTTTAGATACGATTTGACAGCTGCATCAAACTTATAGTTATTGTAGTAAACAGCTCCCAAGTTTCTATATGCTTCTTTTTGGAGAATTTTGTCATGAAGTTGTTCTGCTACTGTGAGAGCTTTTAAAAAATACCTTCGCGAGGACTCAAAATCGCCAGTATAATGAAATGCACTTCCTAACCCCAGGTAAGCGTTAATTTTCCTCTTTTTGTCTCCAAGCTGTGATGCAAGTTTTACCACCTCGTTATAGTACTCTCTGGATTCTTGATACTGACCAGCCCGGATGTGGTTGTAAGCTAACCATTGATACGCTTCTATTTCCAGCTCGTTTCCCTCGAGGTCTGGAGATATTTCACGTGCCTTCTGATAATACTCGATTGCTTTCTTGTACTCGGAAGGTCCAGTAAATACGTTCCCCAAATGTTGATAAGCTTTTGATTTGATGTCATTGCGATCTGTTTCATCCGCAATTTGAACTACTTGTTTGTAGCTTTTGATAGCTTCTTCATTTCGGCCTTCCGTTTCGTGAGAAATTCCCAAGATCAATAATTGTTCTACAGACCCAACAGGGATACTTCTGTTTTCGATGTCTGTTTGTTTGACATTATGAACAGTTTCATCCCGAAGATGAGCATCGTCTGATGTACTGGATGTTTTAATAGTATCAGTATCATAGTTTTCAACGACTGTATCTAAATCGAAGATTAAAAATGCGATCATATTAACCCATTCATTCAAAATTTCTCCCAACGATTTTGACAGTCAAAGCAAGAAGATAGTTCGAAAACTTTAAATGCTTCAAAAAGACATAGTTCGTCTAATTTCTTTTTCCTTAATATTCAATATGGCGTCAAACTGAAGGGCCAGGAATCCGAGAGATATATGTAAACAACGTTCAATTTTACTATATATTTAATAACATTTAAACACATATCACAATAAAACAGCCGGTTCGGCACTGGCGCTAGCTTTGTTATATTTTCGCCATGTCTGGAGGCGTGAACTCTAAAAAGAAGGCGGGTTGTGTGCGTGCCACACTAGCTTCTGATTGGCGCGTTGTCTCTACGTCATTACTATCATTTATAATGTTAATATAAACCTGAACCGTTCGATACACTCCCGAGGGTTAATGTTTGTACTAATATAACTATTAATAAACTTAAATCACGTTATTGTGTCACACAGTATCTTTACGATTGTTCTGACTTCGTAGGAAGTATTTAGTAACAACTGTACTCCTTGCGTTCGCCTTCAGCGGTTCCTTTGAAGAGGCATCCTCTTTCGTCTCTTCCGTCGTAGAATCCCTCGCGTGCGTTTCGTTCTTCTGCTTGCAACTCGACCGTATTTCTAGAGGAACAAGGTGTTGTATGGGTCTTCGTAACCATGTTGATTTTCCATTCTCTTGATTAACTACGCGTACCTTTGCCGCTCTAATAACACCGTCTTTACTGGCGAGTAATTCCTCCACCCTAGCTAACTTCCAAAATGATCGTGATGACTTGTCGGTCTTTAAAACTACGATCTCTCCTTCTTCTATCGCCAGCTTACGAGCCGCATCCGACGAAACCTTTGACCTTGATGACTCTCTTAAACTAGCGAGATACTCCGTTCTCCATTGCTTCGCAAACTGGTTTAAAAGCCTTTTGTGATACTTCTGTCGTCGAGTTAGGGATTGATTTGTACTGATCACTTCGAATTGCTTATCGTTTGGCGTTGTAGCGATGTTTCGACCATAGATCAACGATGCAGGTGTTAACGGATAAGACACGCCTTCTTCATCATCGTATACGTAAGTCATAGGTCGATTGTTCAGCGTAGCTTCAATCTCACTCAATAATGTGCGCATTTCTTCAAACGATAATGATGCTCGACCCACCGCCTTTTTCAGACAGCGTTTGACACATTTCACCATTCTTTCCCAGAAACCCCCTTGCCAGGGTGCCTTTTCCACTATAAACTCCCACGTGATTCCTTTGTTCGCCAAATACCGCTGAACTTCCATAGATCTCGTAATTCCCTTGACTTCTTTTGCAGCCGCTTTAAACGTTTTCGCGTTATCCGATAGTAACTTTGTCGGTAATCCTCTTCGAGCGGTGAATCTTCTAAATGATTGTAAGAATATAGACACTGATAAATTTGGCACAAGTTCAAGGTGTAACGCTCTTGTTGACGCGCAGGTATAGAGACAAATGTACGCCTTTTGCAACTTTCGTTCTTTATCATCTTCACCTTCGGTCGTTAAATATAGTGGTCCAGCGAAGTCCATGCCGGGGTGAGCAAAAGGTGGATCA